ACTTGTATTATTTTGTCCTTCCAGAACAGGACTGCATTTATTAGGACTGACTCTCCTTTCATTGCCTGGGGCCCCTCCTAAACTAATCTATCCCAGGCCACTATTATTTTGGTCCTGCTCCCCCACCTTTTTTCCACCCTACCCTTCTAGTCTTGGTGTCCTTGGCAAATTTGCTCATTGTGTAACTTATGCCAAAGAAACACATGACAGACACAAACCAGCTACACAGGATGTTGAGTTCATTAAGTTCTCTGAAAGAGTCCTGCGCTGGGTTACAACTAGCAAGGTGAACCACTCATTGAAGTTAACAGATACTTCAGCACTGCAACAGATGTAACGTTGCAGGCACTTGGCAGTACTTCATGGACCAGGGTTTGAAAATTATCAGCCAAGTAGGTATATTAGGACTATGGAACTTGACAGAAGTTCTCATCTGATTTGCAGGACGGGTCTAGACGAAGCATGACACTTCAAAGTGAGACCTTCAGTGTTAGTATTTGGAAATGGTGTAAGTTCAGAGTATGGGCAATAGACAAAGATTCCAAATGACCCCAGAAATGAGGTGTGTTCCTCTGTATTAGCTAGCGTGTTGGTAGGAATGACACAGTAATTCAGCACAACTTCTAGAATTGGCAACTTGTCTGGCAGAGAGGCCAGGGAACTGGAAGTTGTGAGTTTGTATTCCCACTTCTGCTATGGTCTTTCTGTGTGACCTTGAACAAACTATTTTGCTTCATATCTCCATAAGAAAAATGGGACTAATGATACTCTCTAAAGCCCCTTAGAGGTCTGCGGATGAAAAGTGCTGTAAGTGTTGCTGATTATAATCCTTTCCGTTCCTAGTGGTCCTGAAGTTTATTTTTCTTCATGGTTTTCCCCCATCTTCTGCATTGTTCTGGCTTAGGTAACGCCACCACTTATCCTGCTCAATTTAAAACAAAAGTAAAAACAAACCAACTTGCAGATCTGATCTCTAAAGTGATATGGCAGATGGTAAAATCTGAATTAGGCAGCAGCAGTCTCTTATCTGAGGCCTATAAACAAAGCGGAACTGCAAAATTTTCTTTAATGAGCTAAATGTATTCCTAGGTGCTGAAGCCTCAAACGGTAAAGATAAAAGGGGGCATTTAGCATGCAGTGAGTTTCTAAACCAACCTTTTTATTCATTTCAGCACCCACAGAAATCATTCCATCCAACTCCAGGGCTGTTAAAACGCCCTAGAATGCATCATTTGGTGATGTCATAATTATCCCTGTGGCCAGGCTATGGCATGGAGCCAGGCTAGTTGGAGTTAAGGCATGTGGCATTTTTATTATATTGATGTGGTTTTTGAAAAAATGCCATATACCTTTTGTGGTTAGTATTAATTTTGCAAAACCATGCTCTATAATAAATGCCATTTACCTGAGACCCAGCTCTGTTCTCCACGGGGGCTAGAATGGAAGTTCTGATGACGCAGAATTATGTATTCTGGAATGTGAGCAGAGCAGGAGATGGCAGTGGGTAACATCGAGGAGATGAAAGCGTTCTGAGAGTTAAAAAAAACTGCAGCTGTGTTGACTGGCACATTTCTCTGTTTTTTCTCTAGTGTTGGCCATGGCAACTGCTACTCACTGTAGCACTCTCAGCTCATTGCAAACAGAAAAAGAAGATGTCTCCCAAATTTTAGATCTAAGAAAACTTGTCCTGTGAGTGAACAAGTATCAGATATTCGTGCCGTGTGTGTGTGTGTGTGTGTGTGTGTGTGTGTGTGTAAAAAAAAATTAAGAGGAAGAGAAACACATGCTAGATCAGAAAGCAATAGGGGAGCAGGATAGCTCAGAGAATTGGTAAGTAGAAGGAGTACTATTATATATTTGTATATTACTGGTATATGATACTCTGTTTCAGCGCCTTAGTGCCTGTTGGCTGCCCAGTGGCTTACCTGAAATAATTTGGTGGCCTCTGTCCTTGATAGGTCACACATAACTGCCACCCCAGCTGGTGCTTAATGGTCCCCCTGAAATCGCAGCAGAGAGGCCAAGTTTTGCATGGATCATGGTGACCATTACCCACTCCTTGCAATAGATAATGTGGGGAAAGTTTGTACTGCCACTGCCCAAAGTGTACCTGTTCCTGAAAATGGATGGTTGGGTAGATAATATTGCAAAACAGAAGCTGGCGATGTTCATTTGGCCAGTACACTATTTCTGTAGGATTGAGTGACACAGAGTTCTGTGCTTGCCAAATCTGAGGGCCAAAGGCTTTCAACCAGAAATGTTCCACCTCCCTCCTGCTCTTTTTATGTCTTATTTCTGGTATGAAATAGAAAATTTTAAAATAGAGGCATAGGGGGACCGCCCAGTGTCCCCAGCAGTAATTCTGAGTGTAGCAGAGACATCACTCCCAGCTCAAAACTTCTTGTAACAGAGGCTGGAAGCAGAAGGCTGGCTACCAAACGTAGAAAGGAATAGCTTTCCTCTAAATAGAAACTGCCAGAGCATCCCAAGGACTACAGAGATCAAAAAAAAGGAACATGCAAGGTGAGCAATGCTTTTTTGTGGTAACAACTAGGAGAGCAGCTGGACCTGCTTGGGTCCTGGAAACCGACGTTTATTCCATCTGAGTGCAGGCTTGCTAAGAAGTGCTCAGAGAGAGGTTCCTGTAGTAGAGACTAATGGAGATTGCACCTCCGGTAAATCTGTCGGACAGCAATGGGTGTATCTCTGCATTAGACCATTGTCTCAGTGGACTGGAGTCAGATATGAGGTGGAAAATATCAGCCACTGTTTTTTCTTTCCTCTCTCTTCAGGTAGCCTTTCTGAAAAACTCATAAACCACTAGCAAACTCTCGGGCTGGTATCAGGTGTGATAGGCTCCCAGGCTGTTTTTCCTTGTGCTGTCTTCACTCCTATATTCAGCCCTCAGTCCAACATTACTTTATGGAATTTATTGAATAGACTCCTCTAGATACCTTGTGCTCACTGTCTATCAGATGAGAGAGAAAACTGAGAGCCTGTCTGCCTGCTGATAAAGATCTCTATCTCGATTTATGCAGTGCCCATCACTGTGGTATCTGAGCAAAACTCTCTCCAAGAGATACTATTAACCTAGCTGTCCTGGCTAAATTCCAATATAGGCAGAATGTGATTAATCATCTAATTTCCTTCCTATAGTTTCAGTTGGATGCCGTATTCTTTGTTTCAGATCCTAAAATGTTGGGTAATGTTTCTGTGATCTGTTAAAACAGCTTCTGTGTTACGCTTCAGAGGTGGCTGCATTTCAGTGGTATATGGAAAGTTTATTCCTTAATGTGTGCAGTTTGTGCAGAGATTTGTACTTTTTTTTTTTATTTATTTAATGAGAGGGTCTATGTAAACGCAATATTATAGACAGGTCCTCCTAAAAGAGACTGCTCCAGACTGTAGGGGAGCCCCCAGGTTGTTTTATGGTTTGGGTGAAGCTGCATTTCTGACTTGAGGGATTCAGATTTGGTAGCTAAGTATGAGCATATCTACTCTTTGGCGTTCTCCTGTTATAGCTGTGTTGGCCAGAGGCATGAAGAGGCATGATCCCTGAGCAACATAGCTGTGCAAGCAGAAGTCCCTAGTGTAGACAGTTGTAATGGCAAAACTGCTTTTACTGGTATAACTTGTTTAGCTCATATGGGGAAAAGCGGGGGATGGTTTTACTCTATTGGTACCAACCACAGCTTTGTCAGTATAGCTGTGTCTACAATAGGAGCGTTTTGCCAGTATAGTACACTGGTATTCCTACACTGGTCAAGAGCTTCTAGTATAGACATGGCCTAGGTGTTTCATAGGGATTTAACCCAGTGCAATTCTCAACGTGCTAAGGTACTAGTTCTTTTTCCCTCTGCTCTCCAGTTTGTCCCTGTTCTGGAGCAAAAATCTCTATCCTTATGTCGGTTTTGGAGGGGAATGAGCCTTGGTAGAGAGAGTGGTCATACATTGGGGTAGGTGGTAATCTGCATCCCTTTGGCACCATTGAATCAGTGTATAGTCTTCAGGAGGAACAAATTTAGAGTATCCGCCCCTGGATTTCCGAGTGGCTTGCAGAATGAAGCGTTTTCAGGCAGCAAGAAGAGGGTCTTTCTCTTTCAGAACAATTAGGGGAAAATGGAGAACCACTGGGCTAAAACAATGTAATAAAGGAATGCGCAGAAGTTCCAGGCACCGACCTTGGAGGCAAGATGCTTTGAGTAGACGGTCTCGGTCCACACTTACATTTTTAGGTTGACATACTTGGGGCACTCAGGAATGTGAAAAATCCTCAACCGTTCGTGCTGTACCTGTGCAGACCTTATCCCCACTGTGTAGGCAGAAGCAGGCTGATAGAAGAATGCTTTTGTCCATGTAGTTACCATTGCTTGGATGTGGTGTTTGCAGGATGATGGAAAAAACCCTTCTGTTGCTGTAGGATGAGTCTAGACCACGGGATTATGTTGGTGTCCCCATAGAGTAGATGCGGCCTAAAGAAGAGAATTTTTTTTAATTGACGGGAATATTTCCCGGTGAGGAAAATAGATAAAAGTGGGCGTTTCTTGATGCATTTGAAAGCAGAGACACGTCTGCCTCCGATCAGATAAGCCTGGCAAGTGGAAAACACATGAGCCCTCCCTGTCTGCTTTTATCATATGCATGATACATCTCCATTCCCTACATGTGTCAGTCACCACAGTGATGTGGCCGTCACATAGCTTGGCAGAGAACAGCGGTGACAACCAACCAGTCTGCTGTCATAGATCATTTTATTGACCAGATGCACTGACTCTCCCTCCCCCCTCACCCCAGTGAAAAATGTTAATCATTTAGCCAGTCTCTCATCAAAACACTACAAGCGTCCAAATGCTTCAGGAGCTGGGAGAATTCCAGAGCTCAAGAGCATACAAGTAAAACTGAATTATTTAGCATGTTGGGGTTTTTTTTAGTGCAAGCAGGTGCATGCTATGAAACAGTTTGGGGTCTGGAATCCTCTATGGAGAGGTTAGTGCCTTGTGGAATTCAAAAGAACAGGACAGATTTTTTTTCATCCCTGCCTTCTTGACTCCTCTTTGACAGCTTTTTCTTTTGAATTCTCCTTCCCTATCTTCCCCCCTCCACCCACCCATAGCCTCACACTCTTTGTGTTTGCTTCTGATACTTCACCTGCTGAAGCAACTCTTCTGAAGCTTTTGTAATGATCTGTTGAGCACTGACCGCCTTTGTGACGCTTTGTACAAACTAGAAGATGTGGCCCCTGTCCCGGGGGCTTTGCAATCTAATCCAGACACAGACGGTGCAGTTCAGACACAATACTGTACACTCGATCCTAGCTCAACTGGAAACTGAGCAGATGTCAAAAGGCTTGGCAGGAGACGTGGTGGTCTTCCCTCTCCTCCCTTAAGGAAGGGTTAGAAAAAAGAGGGAGGTCATCTAGTTTTGTGAAGGGAGGAGACACTTCCAATGATGAGATGGCTTGGAAGAAGTGTCTTTTATTAACTGAGTGCTGGTGGGGGAGGAGTCAGGGTGTATGTGAACACCTTGGGGGTGCATCCTGGAACCCCCATATTCCTCATTTTTATATAATCGTGATCTTATATATAAAGCATGCCTTGTAAGGTATCAGGGGAAAGGTTATGATCTGCTGAAAGTCATTTCTCTATCCATATATGTGTATCATTAATGCATATGAAGTTATGAGAATTGTGTTGGATGGTGGTCACTAAACATGCTGTAAGTTGGGGAATCAGCCAGACATTAGCTCCACAAAGGCAACAGCCAGGAAACTATCCAATGCTCGGGTGAGGTATCAATCAACCCATCAACAACCATAGTCCAGCAAGGGAGCTACAATGCAATGACTCATCTGCATGAAGCCACCCCAGGGGGATTGCTGGACCTTGTTTGGAGAGATTCAGCAATGCCCCCAGACATGCCTGGACTTGTGTTCTACAAACACATGGACTGAGGGTATAAAACAGTCGGAGTGGACACATACTGGGCCCTTCTCCTGCTCCCACCTATGCTGCAAGCAACCAGGACACTGAGAAGAAGACAAGACTCCAACAGAGGAGATTGGCCCAGGTTTAAGGAACAAACCTGTATATTAAGGACTGCAATATCCACTGCTTCATCTAGTTGCTGCCCAGTCTAATAGGGTTGAGAGTTTAGACTGCGTGCTTATATTTTATTTTGGTAACACTGACTTTTTGCCTATCACTTAAAATCTATCTTTTATAGTCAATACATTTGTTTAACTGTTTATCTTTACCAGTGAGTTGGTATGAAGTGAGGGGGCAAATCTACTCCGGTTTGACAAAGGCTGGTGTATGTCCACTTTCCATTGTTGAAGTGGTGAACCAATTACTAAATTAGACAGCATATTCCTGAGGTAAGTACTGGGAGCTGGGTGGGGATTTGGCTGATGCCTGTCTCTGTGTGATTAATGAGTGGCTATGGGAGCATTCATGCAATCTAGCTGGGTGTGGGGCTCCACATGGAGTTGTGCTGAGTGATCACAGCACCTGGCGGGGTTTGTTGCTTGTCACAAGCAAGGCATTGTGAGGGACAGCCCAGGCTGGAGATTTAAGGGGGCAGAGCGGTCCCACAGTCCCAGGATGCACTGTAGGGGGATCCCATCACACACCTGACGTGCTTTAAGCAGTCACTGGAATACTGAAGGCAACACACTCTTCACCCCTTGTCGTGCCTATTTGTACTGGTGTACGGAGAGGAGCCCTAAGATCTGAGTGATGCAGATGCCAGTTAAACAAGGATGCTGAGTGCAGCTCCACTGTGGACCCATTCTAATTGTCCGGGAGCCTTGAAGATCTATTGGAGTTGGCTTGTCCAGTCCCATGGGCAGGTTTTAGCTCTTGTGTGACCGTCTTTTCTCACTTGATCTGCCCAACCCACATCAGTTCCAAAGCTTTCATACCACTTTGTTAAAGACCGTATGTTACAATTTAAGAGCTGGCTGCTACCTCTGAAACACACACACACACACATACACATACACATACACACACACACACACACACTTACTTCACCTGTCAGCTTACAATGTAAGAAAACAAGGGAACCCCATGCTACAATCCTGCTAATAACACCTGCTCAAGCCATTATTTCTAGCGTTGTTTAAGCCACAGTGCAGCTGGGGACCTAAACAAAGAACCAGGGGGTATGTTTCTGAGCCCCTCCTCCCTCAAACTCTTTGGGCACAAGTCACCAGGAAGAGGAGACTCTGGTACCAGATGGGTGCTCTGTGAGGTCTGGGAATCCATCACACAAAGTGAATTCTTTCCTCCCACCAGGAGGTTCCAAGCCTCATTTTGCAGAACATGATGTACAAACTGAGCTCCCCTATGGGATTAGAATGCCCCATCCCTGTAGCACTTGGCTGGGTGCCATCATGGCACCAGTGCATTAAACAGCAAACAGACTGTTTTCTTAACTGTCAACTTCTGTCCTTTCTGTCGCCGAAATTGGCTTGGTTGGCAACATCCCACCTTCCAGGTCAGAGTGTGGTGGTTTTGGGTGGCATGGGGGGAGATTGTTCTTTCACCCTGATCCTACCCAACCATGGGTATGTTTTTTGCACAGGAAGAAGTTCCAGTGTCGAGATGATTGTTTTCATAATGCGACATCACGTTTTCTTTCTCCGTGAGCAGTGCGGCTCGGCCGTTAATTGGAGAGAAAACAATCAGAGACCTGCTGCTGCTGGAATTTGTTTAAAGCATGGGAAGATGAGGAAAAGCTTGTGTGTCTGAGAGAGAGCAGCTGGTGTTAAGCTGTGTGGTGGAAGCAGTCATGCTTGGGGACTGTAGCTCAGTATAATTGGCAAAACGAAGCCATAGTCATTCTTTTAGATCAAACGCCATACTTCCAACACACAAACATGTTTCGGGTCTGACGCGTGTAGTAACAAGCCACAGTGTTTGGAGTTTTACTAATAGAAATGATTTGTCCTTGCATTCCCCCCTTTCCTCTGAGGATCTGTAAAGTGCTTTACAAACTCTAAACCTCACCATACCCCTGGCAAGTCGCTGAGTATTATCCCCAGCTAGATGGGGGCAAACCAGAAACACAGAAACAGAATGACTTGGTCCAAGGTTGCCTAGTCAGGAATAGGGCCCAGAAACTGCTGTTTGAACTACTAGACAGCACTGACTTGATAAAATGCTGTCCTGGTTATGCCTAGGTATTGCAACAGATGTGATATATGAAAAGGAAGTATATTGCCTTATTCGAGACAATGCAGAGGAGGAGGGTAAGGATGACGTCAAGTAACATGGAAGACTCCAGAATGACATGAAAGAAAATGTCACCATTTTGTCACTTCACCAAAGTAGGGAATGTAGCCTTACAATTGGAGACGTTGAGTGTGGTTTAGTGCCTGGGGCCCTGAACTGGGAATCAGGCAACACGAGTTCCATTCTCAGTCCTGCCACTGATCTGCTGTGTGACCTTGGGCAAGTCACTTCTGTTTCCCCTCCTACCCTTTGTCTATTTTGTCTGTAAGCTCTTCAAGACAGGGACTTTTTTTTCATTGTGCATATGTACAGTGCCTAACACAACAGGGCCATGATCGTGGTTGGGGTCTTAAAGCACTAAGGTAATATTAATAAACAAACTTGGCCACCGCTGCTTTATGCAGGGTAATAAGTGGGTAGAATAAGTTACCAGAGCAACAACTGAAGCAAGGAATATAAATTCATGGAGACACTTACAGCTTTAAAAAAAACAAAAAAACACACACACAATTAATAAATACATGGATGATTCATTAGATCTCATAATTCAAGCTAACCATCTCAATACAAATATTTGGGTTATATATTCCTACAGTTCTCATGGACTATAGATCTTCAAAGCCTTTCTTAACCATTTGATATTTCAAGAATATAAAACAGTCACATACATTGATTTGTATTGCGGTAGCACTTAGGAACCGCATTGTGAACCAGGACTGCAACGTATGACAGGCTGTACAAACAAAACAAAAAGACAGGTCCTGTTCCAAAGAGCTTACAATGGAACAGTGGCTCTCCAGCCCCTGCCTGGTCAAAATGGAAGGGGCAACCACCACTGAGACTTGGACCTTTTTCCCCAAAGAAATCTAAGTAATAAATTCAGTGAACTTTTTAACTGCTTAGAAATCTTTCAATATTTAAAATGAAACTAGCATAACTACTCCTTGCTGAGGGTCAGCAGTCTGTGTAGTTTGAAGTTGTGCTACTTCTCAGTTTCAGTACATGGAAAAAGACCCTTGAATTATGTTTTTAAAGTGGGAAAAGTACACTGTATATACTCGTTTATTAGCCCGTTTGTTTATAAGCCGACCCCCCAAACTTGATAGGTAAAAATAGCAAAAACTGTATGACCCTTTCATAAGCCAACCGTATATTTCAGGGGTTGAAAAACTTTGGCTCCCGGCCCATCAGGGTAAGCCGCTGGCGGATCGGGACGTTTTGTTTATCTGGAGCGTTCATAGGCACAGAGCCCCTCAGCTCCCAGTGGCCGCGGTTTGCCGTTCCCAGCCAATGGGAATATATGTTTCACTCTATATGCATCCGAAGAAGTGGGTTGTAGCCCACGAAAGCTTATGCTCTAATAAATTTGTTAGTCTCTAAGGTGCTACAAGTACTCCTGTTCTTTTTTTAGGCAATAAAATGACTCCAGTAGCCAGGGTTGTGCAAAAAACCACCAAATACTGCAAGACTCGTGATAAAATTACAAGAACTGGCAACACATCAACTTTAGGATTATAAAAAGAAGTTGTATCACATTAACTATGACGCTTGTGGCAAAAAAAAATTACTTACAAATTAATACTAATAATTCCTTCTCATTCAAAATCTTGGCATCTGGCTGGAATATTTGTGGAACATTTATTGAAGAGTCTTGATGACATTATGGGCTATAATATGAGCCTTGGTGTTTCAAGGGATTCCATATTTTCGTTAAGCTTCAGAGTATGCCATCCTTGCGTTGAGATGGGCCTTTCTTTGCGACTAGTCCTATTGTAATCAATTAGACCAGCATTTCTCAACCTTTTTGATACTAGGGCGTGCTGCCTTTCTAAACTGTCGGGGACTGATGTTGGTCCACAGACCGGTCGTTGAGAAACACTGAATTAGACCACTCAGAGTAAGGAACTAAATATGACTTAGGGCTGCATAATCGGTCTCCTAATGTCAAATAAATATCCCGTTTAACATAGCTCTGCCACTGCTAGTTTTAGATGAGTGTGGTGACTTGAGAAGTGAGGTTCTTACCCACGAAAGCTTATGCTCCCAATACTTCTGTTAGTCTTAAAGGTGCCACAGGACCCTCTGTTGCTTTTTACAGATTCAGACGAACACGGCTACCCCTCTGATACAAAAATATTAAATGTCATTGACCAGATGGTGGCAAGGGAACGCTACATCTACAAGTATGTAAAGGGTCTAAATGCCCCCCATAATGGAGATGGATTTAGGGTTTGGTTTAGGCAAGTACCCTGGGATGTAATTAGGAGTAATGAGATGTGAAACTAAACAAAGGAATGTTTAGGCTGAATGCAGGGATGGGGAAGACGTACTAACTATTCAAGTGTAAAACAGTCTTGTAAGGGAAATGGTGGAAGCCCCATCATTTGAGCCACTTAAAATGGACAGGATATAAGCAGAGAATTTACAGTGTACAGAAGAAGCCCTCAGTGGCGGGGGGCGGGGGGAGAGGAGAGAAAATGGCAATGCTGTAGGTGGTCTCATCTCAAATTCCTGTGATTCTGTGTAGTACTTTTTCCTCAGTGAAAAGTGTCATGTTGCTGTTCTGTAATAATGACATTTTATTTGTTTCTCAGTAGCTTCTGATATTTCTGATTCTTCTTGTCCTTGGCGCAGTGGCCGGCTGGTTTCTTTCTCCCCTGGAGTTCTGACAGTGTCGGCTGTTGAAAAAGTGAGTTATGTTAACAGCAGAGCAAGGGTGGTTGACTTTGGCATGGGGATGGGGCAATGCATTCTGGGAGGCTGGGTTTCTGAACAAGCCAAAGCAAAGGTTAGATGCATCTTTGAGACTCATTAAAACAATTAGAAGGATTTGGTGGGGAAGGAAAAGACTCTGTTAGCCAACTGGGGAATTCCATACTGGAGATGGAGGAAGCCACTGCCATGTACTGTATGGTTCTACATCTCAGCCAATAGCAGATGCAATCGAAAGTTGTTCTTTCTCCTGAGACATAGATATCAGCTTCCACTCCCATTGAGTTTCTCCGCATGGTGGGAGCCTGTGCTTATAAACAGAGATGGATGATTAGCTGCAAAAATATTCCATAAATATTGCTATGAATTTTTTTTTTTTAATGAACTCACCCTGTCCTAGATGCATGACTTTTGGTTTTGCTTTCCACAGTTCTTCCTGGAACTGACTTTTTATTGTTAGCATTTGCAGTAATAATAGTGTATTTCAAGTGTACGTACTCATGGGAAAATAACTTAAACTTGCTTTCTATATGTATTTGCAGCAGAGATTCCATCATGAGTGTTAGACTCATCTAGTCCGGGAACAAGAACAATATTGTGAGGCCAATCTCCACTCCACAGCACAGCTTGAAGAGTAAGCCACAGAGCAAACCAAATTAATTACAAAATAGAGCTCAATAAATTCAAGGAAATCTCCATGTATTCTCAGACATTTCCTTGAACATAAGGTGAAATTGGTTGAATAAATTGTTACAAAGGCTCTCACTCGGATCTAGTTGGAACAAAGAGGGGTGAGCCACATAGTTGATAGAATGTGTATCTAGCTTATGTGTTTTTACCTTCTTTTGTTTGCCGTTTAGTTTAGTGAAATTCTCTTTTGATCATCTTGTGTTGCTTGGTTAGTTGGGAGGAGATGATTCTAATCTAGAATAATAGACGGTGCTGGTCTCCTAGTAACCACCAACTGCCCTATCGCTTTCTAAAATGCTGCATCCTGTATAGCTTGACTGTTTGTTTTTGATGCTCTGAAAATTTAAATTTTTCAGAAATCGCTCCAAGTGAACAACTTTTGTGTATTTTTTTTCTCTTACAGTGGGAGGGAAGGGGTTAACAGATGTTTCTGTATTTCTTTTCAAAGGAAGCCTGAAACCTTCTGGGGATGTATCTTAGCTTGTTCCCTGTGAGATGAAAGCAATCCTTTCAAAATATCAGATATTATGACTGTTGTTTATTTTTGTTGGTTTGTTTTTTACAACTGAGCTTTCAAGGTATTTTGTGCTCTGGTTTGTGAAGAGTAAAAATTCCTGGTTATTCAACTAAAGCAAATTTTTTTTTGATTGATTGATGTACTCTGGCTGGCTTCTCTGTGTTACTCAGTGTGTAAATGTTCAGATGCGTATAACAGAGCCTTGCTGACTTGCTGTAATAACCAGAAGATCCACTCTGAATTAGCAACTAGGTAAAGAAACATGATTTAAAAACAAAAGCAAAACAGCACCACACTGGGTCACAAAACCTACTTTAACTGTCATTCAGTTTCAATGCATAAGACACTAGTAAATGTACTTGGATAGGATTTTACTGACGTGATAAAGTCTTAGTAATGGGAGACCTTGGCATAGTGTGGGGGTGGGAAGGGACAGAATGGAGAGCTCGCTGGGTCTTCTGTGAGAATGCCAGTCTGCGCATTCTGTGCATCAAAGTGAAGTTTGTGAGGTTCTAATGCAGGGGTGGGCAAACTACGGCACGGGGGCCACATCCGGCCCTTCAGACATTTTAATCCGGCCCTTGAGCTCCAGCCGGGGAGCGGGGTCTGGGGTTGCCCCACTCCGTGCGTGCCGTGGCCGGGAACCGCGGCCAATGGGAGCTGTAGGGGCAGTGCCTGCGGACGGGGCAGCGTGCAGAGCCACCTGGCCGCACCTCCACGTAGGAGCCAGAGGGGGGACATGCCACTACTTCCGTGAGCTGCTTGAGGTAAGCGCCGCCCGGAGCCTGCACCCCTGCGCCCCGACCCCCTCCCCAGCCCTGATCCCCCTCCGAACCCCTCAGTCCCAGCCCGGAGCACCCTCCTGCACCCCCAACCCCTCATCTCCAGCCCCACCTGAGAGCCCGCACCCCCAGCCAGAGCCCTCCCCCCGCACACCAACCTCCTGCCCCAGTCCGAAGCCCCCTCCCACACCCTGAACTCCTCATTTCTGGCCCCACCCCAGATCCCTCACCCCAACCCCCAATTTCATGAGCATTCATGGCCCGCCATGCAATTTACATCCCCAGATTTGGCCCTTGGGCCAAAAAGTTTGCCCATCCCTGCTCTAATATAGAGGGAAAGACAGAGAGATTTGAGGCTACGAATCCCCGTTTAGTAACTCAGAATTCACACATCCACTGCGGAGTATCAACCCCATACAGTGCCTGATTTAAATGCTAAAGGTCACAAGTTCAAGTCCTGCAGGCTAATAAAAATGTATCCAATGCTCAGATCATAGAATGCAGGGGAAGAACCCGAACAGAATAGTATATATGGGCAGTGGGGTGGGGAGAGGGCATGTTAGGAGACTGGATCATGCATTTTGCATTTCTCATTCATAACTGTGAAGATTTTTGTTTTTTAGCCAGGGAAGAGACTCTTTTAAAGACGAGATGGTTCTCAATGAAAACACTTACCCTACCCTCTTAGCACCGGGGAAACTTTCTCCATTTCAAGGACAAGATTTTATTTTTTTAAAATAAATTAAATGATACAGCAAACACATGACACCCCCCCCTCTCTCACACACTCACTCACACACACCTTTTCACCCCCCAACAAATACAGAAGCTACATAGTATATAGGGCTGAGGTGCTATGGGGCTCAGGATGGGTGGAAGAGATATGCTGGAGGTAGACAAATAAGGAGAGCAGGAAGGATGTGGGGTGCTGACATGACTGAGAATGCAGATGCAAGGGGGAGAGGAGGAGTGATGTGGGTCATGGATTTGATGAAGTGAAATTTGTGAATCCTATATACTGTGTCAGCATTTTTGACTGTGTTGACCAGGGTTTCTTTATCTGTCAATCCATAGGGCTGAGATTCTGTACAAACTCCAGCCATCGGGAGTGGCTAACGGAGTCTGAAAACCCCACAGCAAGGAGAGATGACACTTTGTCTGGAAACTTCTCATCCCCAGACAATCTAATTTCCCTTCTTCATTCCTGCCTAGTCATGGCAGAGGATCCTCCAAATATTTCTACTTCTGAGCTTTTAGCTCTTAGTCTCTGGAGACACCTGCACTCCCAAATATGGATTGTACACGAGACCCTGATAGTCAACTCTAGCTCATACTTTGGTAGAGCTCTAAGTACATGGTTACCCACTGATGTCAAACAGCCATCTTTAATACACTAGCACGAATCCCCTTTAATATCCTTATCTCCAATGAGACCTCTTACTCTGGAGCCAGGCCACCGTTGGTTTGGTTTTTAAGCCTGTGTCTGTAGACCCCTTGACCCAACGTCCAGGCCTTGGTTTCTTGGCCACGTGAGCTAGGTCCAGGCAAATATTCTTGTGGTGAGAAACCCAAATCCTGATGATGATTTCTGTACTTCGTGTCCAGGCATCTTCTACATATCCCAGTCTCTAAAAACCACGGCTCTGGGTCAGGTTTAGAAATGCCAGTACCCTGAGTCTAGAATTCCTTTCTTCAATGCTTAGGCTTTTAGAGAGAATCGGTACTCCTTCCTTTTCTGTCCTGCATCAGAACTCTGGTTTCTAGAGACCCCTGCACTCTGCTTCAGCTTACAAAACTATTTCCCCAGGACACCCGTCTCTGGGCTATCCCTGAGATGGAACAGGTCTATCATCCAGAGGGGTAATAAGGTACATCACTGTGGTAGTTATAGTCAGGACACACCTTCTGCACTAGCCTGTAGTCTATGCTGTAGAAGGTGATGTAGATGCAAATGACTTTGAAGGGTTTGGAACAGACCCAGGAGACATGACTCTGGGTCTGCTCATAGTAGCAGGTTTTGGAGGGGTCGTAAGTACAGAGTGTGGTTTTCTTGGCACGATCCACTTTCTCATAATCTACCCGGCAGTTGAAGACCTTGGATTCTTTGGCCTCAATAAAGATCTGCTGCTCCAGGTCAAACTCCACTGTCTTGGTGGGAGGGACGAGGCTGACAGAGATAGTGCCCTGCCCAGTGGAGTTGTGCCGGAAGAAGACATTAACGGTACCGTTACCATGATCGACGACCTTCCCAGTGATCAAAAGGTTCAGCTTTACCGTCTTGATGTTGGAATAAAAATCACCCCAGCCAAAAATTTTCTTGAACTTGCCTGTGTTTGCCACACGGTCCCTGCGTCCTCTAGAGCGTGAGCCCTGGTCCAGCTCAGACAGGTTGTCCAGGACTTCCCAGAACTCTTGTGAACTAGAGAGCAACTCTAGGTGAGTCAAATTCTGCAGTGGGGTTTGAGTTAGTAGGGACTTCGGGGGGAGGTGCTCCCTCTTCTTTTGCAGTTGGGATCTGTCTTGAACTTCATTTTCACCTTGCTCTGCATCCTCCCCTTGTTCTTGTCCAGAGATCACCTGAACAGGGTCAATAGGAGAGAATAAGAGAGATGTATCTTCTCTATCCTGCTGTTCTTGTACTCTGTCCTCTTTCCACTTACCTCTAGACATGTCATCACAAGTCTTCTCCCCTCTTTCTCCTTCCTCATTCTTGTTTTCCTGCTCCCCTTTCTCTTATATGCTTCTCTTTTCTCTCCTGTCTCTGATCCTCCTTTGAATAACCTCCTTGCTCCATCTACCCTATTGTCTCTCTACACTCATCCTTCCTTTCTGCCCTGAGTAACGGGCTTTCTTCCATGTGAGCCTCTGGGAATTTGTGTGCCCTTTTGTTTTGTTCAGGGTCCCACCTAATCCCTCCAGCTTTCCAAAAATGTCAGCTGAGGTCAATTCCCCGGGATCTCTGCTTAAAGCTGGTGGAGAGGGGCGTAGAAGAGATGGGCGGGGGATTGGGTTAGTGCTCGCTGGATGTAATGGACTAATCACCAACCACTGTCCTAAGAATGCTGGTCTTCTAGCCTTTCCTCAGTTACTGAGATCCCCCCCCCCACACACACACACCCTATGGTTCAGTTGACTATAGCCCCATCATCTGGTCCTTCTGTCTCCCAGCTGCTGTAGCAGTCAGGCAGTGGGCGACAGGGACAGACAGAATCTGGACAAGCCAGGGGGCCAGTGCCTCTTCTCCCCCGTCCCTCCCCACTGCAAGGTCTGGTGATAGCTCAGCCCTAGGCTCGCTCTCTGCCCCCCCCGCTCCCCCCGCCGCGGTGCTCTTTCGCTGGTGGGAGGGGAGCTGAGGTTGCAGAAGGGGGGGACTAACATCTGGCCGGGAGGCAGGTGAGAGATGCAGATGTGGCTCACCCCCCCCGGGGGGGGGGTCAGGTTGCCGTGGTGATTTCAGCCACACAGCTCCGTGTGTGTCCGCCGGGGGAGGCGGGAGGGCTGGCTGGGACCCTGCGGGCTGTCAGCGCTCACCTGGCGGAGAAGGAAGGGGGGGGGGAAGCCACCTGGGATCAGCGCCCTGTGCCACCCCCACCCCCGACGGGCAGGGGGGACAGCGGGGCACGCTCCCACGGGGTGAAAGGTGCCCTCCGCCCCCTTCATCCCACCCTCGGGCTGGGGGGAATTGGTCACACGAGTCCTTG